CGAAGACAATGACCAAGCCATTTGTCTCGTGCCATCCCTCTCCAGCCTTCCACAAACTTTGGGCAGGGACACCACTCCTACCCTCTGGCTAATAGGACTCCATGGACCCAACCTCCATCACTTGATCTCACTTCCCTTTAAACTCTGTTCTAGTTGTAGCCTTCACAGCCTCCTGCAGCAAGGAGTTCCGCAGGTTAACTATTTGCTTTGGGAAGAACAACAACTTTCTCTTACTAGTTTGAAGCCTGCTACCCATTCCTTTCCTTTGGTGTCCTCTAGTCCTTCTTTATGGGAACTCAGGAAGAACTTTTCTGAATGCACCCTCTCCACCCACCCCCTGCTTTTAGAGACCTCTATCCTGTCCCCCCTCCGTCTCCTCTTGTCTAAGCTGAGAAGTCCCAGTCTCTTTAGCCTCTCTTCATATGGGACCTGTTCACAACCCCTGATCATTTTAGTTGCTTTCCTTTGGTGTCCTCTAGTCCTTCTTTATGGGAACTCAGGAAGAACTTTTCTGAATGCACCCTCTCCACCCACCCCCTGCTTTTAGAGACCTCTATCCTGTCCCCCCTCCGTCTCCTCTTGTCTAAGCTGAGAAGTCCCAGTCTCTTTAGCCTCTCTTCATATGGGACCTGTTCACAACCCCTGATCATTTTAGTTGCCCTCCCCTCTCCCAGCCTCTCTCTTCCCTTCTCCCACACTAGGGAGGGGCTAGGGAAGGGTAAGTGGAAGGAGGTGAGGGAGGACTGGGGCACGAGCCCCCGATGGGGAGGACTGGGCTGGCTCTGCGGGCTTCTGGGGGTGGAAGCTCTCCTGCAGCCCCCCAATTGACCCGTCTCCCCAGATGGCAGCCTGCGGCAAGTGCAGCCGGTCTGATGGCCGAGTGGTGTGATATGCCCAGTGTGGGTAGTCCGGGCACTCGAAGCCAGGACTGCTTTGCAAGCGGGGCACCCCTGAGAACTGTCTGTCCAGGGTGGGGGTCGGGTCCCTTTAAGCGCAGCCCTGGGCTAGCCTGAGACAGCATCTCCACGCTCTAAGTCCTCCTCTGATGCCCTGCCGGCACTGCTTCCGGCCATCCTTAAGCCCAGTTCAGGGTCCACTCTGTGTGGACATGCTAGTTCGAATTAGCAAAACGCTAATTCGAACTAGTTTTTTAGTCTAGATCCATTAGTTCGAATTAGCTTAGTTCGAATTAACTAATTCGAACTAAGTTAGTTCGAATTAACGTTGTAGTGTAGACGTACCCTCCTTTATCTCAACTTAGGTTTATTTTACTATCTCCCCTTACCATGTGGAGAAACAATATTCTCTATTGCTACTTGCAGCTATGTTAATCAGTTGTAATATATCTTTTTTGTGTAAAAAATATAATAATTGGAAGTTAGAAAATATATTAATTGTGTAAATTCAGTGCCAGTTGTCTTTCTTGACTTGTGTAGGACAGCTTTACTAAGGTCATGTTTTACTAATACTACAATCTAGAGAAAACTACTGTGGGCTAAGGGTTGTGCTGAATCAGCTCAGTATAAGAATATGGTGAATATCAACAGTCGGAGGAAGTTAGGCTTGTGTGTGGGTAAAGGGAGAAAGAGGGAATTATGGGATCAAGACATGAGAGAAGCTGCTCTTTTTGGAGGTCTTTGAACAGGGATGATAGAGAGGGGGAGAGAGAGAGAGAGAGAGAGAAGTCAAATCTATAGAAGTAGAGCCAACAGTGCAATGCTGTTGCAAAAAAAGCAAACATGATTCTGGGATGCATAAACTGGGATGCATAAACAGGGAGTGTTGTGAGCAAGACATGAGAAAGTCATTCTTCCGCTCTACTCTACTAACTAGGCCTCAGTTGGAGTATTGTGTCCAGTTCTGGGCACCACATTTCAAGAAAGATGGGGATGTGGAAGAATTGGAGAAGGTCCAGAGAAGAGCAACAAGAATGATTAAAGGTCTAGAGAACATGAGCTGTGAAGGAAGACTGAAAGAATTGGGCTTGTTTAGTTTGGAAAGGAGAAGACTGAGAGGTGACATGATAGCAGTCTTCGGGTATCTAAAAGGGTGTCACAAGGAGGAAGGAGAAAAATTGTTCTCCTTGGCCTCTGAGGATAGGATAAGAAGCAATGGGCTTAAACTGCAGCAAGGGAGGTTTAGGCTGGACATTAGGCTGAACTTGCCTTCCTAACTGTCAGGGTGGTTAAACACTGGAATAAGTTGCCTAGGGAGATTGTGGAATGTCCATCTCTAGAGATATTTAAGTTCATGTTAGATAGATATCTATCAGGGATGGTCTAGATCAGTGGTTCTCAACTTGTTTCAGTCCATGGACCACCAGGCCAATCAAAAAATTTTCATGGACCACCTCCAGCACATGAAGCACAGGACGAACGACACAGCAACCGCTCAGCATGATGGCGGCAGCTACACTGACGCCCAGAGCCTCAGACGGAAGTTACTGGCAACACAATGCGGTTGCGTCCTAGGTGACGCTATGGATGATGCTTGTGAAAACGGTGTAAAACAGCCTAACGGCACCTGCTCACACCGTGTGACTTTGGACAGTGTTCCTGTGGACCACCAGTGGTTCATGGACCACCGTTGAGAAACACTGGTCTAGATGGTACTGGACTTGATGACCTCTCGAGGTCCCTTTCAGTTCCAGCATTCTATGATTCTATAAGCACACTATAGTAGTAGGAGAAGGTGGCAGGAGGGAGCCTGACACGTAGGGCCACAATCTTTTGCATTGTTAATCATGATATCAGGGAATTTCCCCTAAATTTTATATTTGACTTCTCCGGTAGCATCTCTATTATAAATTTGATGGAGAGTCAATAGAATCAGAATATGAACACGTGATAATTGCCAGCTAAATTCTTTATGTTTTGGCACTGAATTTTACTACTACATTGTTGCTTATATTCTGACACTAACTGAACTTAAATTATAGATTCATCAAATCCATACTACTGACACCTTCACAATACTGCAGCTAGCTTTTAAATTATTTCACTGAGGTTATATATAATTTATTCTTCACTTGTTCATATCTCTATACATTAAAGCCCTGTTTTTCTAGGCAGAGCTGGTAGTGACCTTTATATTTAGGTTACTTAACACTTTTTCCATTTTCAAAGATTCTTGTGTTTCTTTTTTAGAAGCTCATAACATCTCCATTGTTTGCAGAAGGGCTGTGAAATTTGACAAAGTGAAAGCCCTCAGGCTAGAGAAGTTCCTTTTCTTTGTCCCATGAAATTCCATCTGGGTTTTGCTAAATTATAAACTGTTTAAAATTGTCACTTCCCTTTTCTTGCTTATGTGTGTCAGAAGAATTTTCACAGCATGATAAAATAACTGAATGTTAAGTTTCTAAAGATTTACCTAGGCCCTTAGGCCATGCCTATACTACGCAGAAGATTGATGCTACCATGGTCGATCTTGTGGGGTTCGATTTAGAGGGTCTGGTGAAGACCTGCTAATTCAAACTGAAAGGGCCTTCCCCCGATCAGTGCTGGTATTTCTGCTGCTCTCAAATAGTAAGGGAAGCCAATGGGAGCATTTGCTCCCATTGACCTCTCACTATGTGGACAGTGATTTAAGATACAGTAATATAGCTGGAGTTGTGTATCTTAAGTCAACTTTCTCCTTTAGTGTAGATGTGCTTTTACTGTGGCGAAGCAGCAGCAGCAGATTGTGAATGGGAACACCAAGGAGCTGCCAGAGCAGATGTAAAAATGGTGTGGGGAGAGACTCTGGCTGGGATACTCCCCCTGGGATATCTCAGGGATCCAGTAAATTGCCCCCTGACCTATCCACCTTTCTGGAGGTAGCATGCTGGACAATAACCCTAACCACATCTGGTATAGGGAGGGTTAGAGGGTACTAAATTGGGCCTGCCTTCTCTTGGACCCATGTCATAGTGCCATCGGGTCATCAATGCTTCTCTTTTTCTAGGGAGAACAACTTGCTTCTTTTAACAGCTCCAGGGAAAAGTCTGCAGTAGTGAAATTTCAGGTTTCAGTCCTTGTGTTGTAGGTTTTGTTACATAGTGAGACATAATGAGATTTGGTTTTACTAAATTACATGCAGAGAATAAGTTGTTTAGATTTCAAAGTCATGCCAGCTTTACAGTTGCCCATGCAATTTTAGTTTTGCACTCTTATTGAATGCATTGTGATTCAATCTTTAATGGCAATAATCATGTGCTATTCTTTTGCCACAAGATCTCTGCCTCATTGCACGCATCAGGGATGGAATTAAGGTTGCCTATGCAATTGTAAAACTGTCCTTTCTTAGCTTAACTGTATAATCTAAAATAATTTCTTTTAATGTAGAGCCCCTGGTATATCATTGTATCTTTATCTTGTTCAGCACAGTCTTCGAATTTAATATAGCCTGTAAACGTAGTGTAATTTGTTTCATGGAACTACTAAGGCTTGATCTAAAATGTTAATGTTGGTTATTTCTGCAGTTGCACAGCAGGAGGCTGAAATGGTAAAAGATCTCAATGGGCCACTCGCATCAAAAACACTCAGAGGGCCACAATTTCTTAGCAATTCTTCTCATATTTCGGCACAGAAAGATTCAACAGTGTCTCCAGCAGATCAATTTGTCAGTGTTGCAAGAGTATCCATGAGAATGCAGAAAGTGAAGCAGAAACTTGACTCTGTTATGGTATGTCAAATTTATTTATATTTCCAAGTAAATTGTAAAATCTTTTCATACAGTGCCTATATTCTTTATAGCACAAGCACATATTACAGAATATCTGTACAAAGCTTGTAAATCTACTCTCCTTTTAATGAATGAATATAATTCCCATTATTGCCAATGCACTTTTCGTGCTTGTTCAGAGACTACATCATGTAAATGTAAGTTATTTTTAGTATCTTTTTTTTAACCACCCATCAGTGACCACGGGTTCTTTTGGCAACAACTATTAGCATTACTGTGATTTACATACTTACATATATTTACTGTCTTAAAGAGCTCCATCTTCATCATATTTTTGTTTGTTAGAAAACAAAATTTGGTGGATTCTCAATTTAACTAGTAATGTCTGGGATCCACAGCATTTCCAGAAAATTATTTTCTAACCTCAGTTTTAGTAATAGTAATATTTCTACTTAAAACATAGGCAAAAATAGTGCCATTTCTAAGACGTGCATAATAGTTACACAAAAAGTATTAATACTAATTAGAGAAAATTATTTTGTGCTCCATACTGTTCAAGACACACAAAAGCTAACCTTATATGGAGTAACAGTTCTTTCAGATTTGCTTCGAGGTCTATGCCTAGACACACATATATGGTTTAGTTCTATTCGACTATTGTTAATCAGAGATCAGAAATTAAATTTGAAAAACAAAGTTCTACTGATATGTAAATACTCTGATGTAATTGGAGGCAAAAAACAAATTGTGAAGCTACCACACATCTCTGGCAAAAGCGATTAACATCTTTCCATTAGAACCAGGAAAAGAACTTTGCAATTCTTGAATGAACACACATAATTGCAATTTTTGACATTATTTAAAAATGATAAATGTTTATATTATGTTTCTGGCAAGTTACATAGTTGTGCTTTTTAAAAATATCTCAGAGGTTAGCCATGTTAGTCTGTAACTTTAAAAACGAGTAGTCCTGTGGCACCATAGAAACTAACTAAAATATATAGAATTATGAGCTTTTGTGCATAAAACCCTCCACTCCAATTCATCTGATGAAGTGGATCTTACCCATGAAAGCTTATGATTTTATATATTTTGGGAAGTCTTGAAGGTGCCACGGGACTGCTCATTTTTATAGTTATGCTTTCTTTTTCAAGACTGAAAACTCACATGACTAATACTAATCCTATATATAGTAGCCCAGTGTCTGAGAGTCTGTAACGCCGAAATGCTGGCTGTTCCCTCTGGGCGGCCCATGCTGCATGGGGAGCGCGGAGCCCAAACGGCCGCTTGCGCCGCTTGCTCCCCCGCGATGGCACGGCTCAGCGGTGCAGAAGTCAGCCGAATGCCACGGTGGGAAGCGAAGGGGGTCAGGGCGGTGACGTGCGGTGTGACAGCAGCTCCAGGCCCTGCCCCCTGGCCGTGAATGTCACCACCCCATCCCCCTTCGCCTTCCACTGTGGCACTCGGCTGACTTCTGCGCCGTTCAGCCAGGCCGCTGCGTAGGAGCAAGTGGCGCAAGAGACCGTTTGGGCGCCGCACCCCCCATGCAGCACAGGGAGTGTGTAGTCCAAATGTGCATTTGGGCTCCGTGGTCCCCCGAGTGAGAGGCAGGAGAGGGAGGAGAAGTGAAAGAGAGACAGAGAGAGAGGCAGGAGGTGTAGGAGAGCTGAGAGGGGGGAGTAGCAGGGGGGAAGCAGGAGGCGGAGGAGGCAGGGGGCAGAAGGAGGCGGGAGGGAGGGAGGGAGACCGGAGGCTCAGGAGAGGAGACCGACATGGAGGAGAGACCTGAAAATCCTGTCTTATGACAGGCTAATTGGCTAGTAATATAAGAATCAGGGGGTCACCAAATAAAACTAATCAGCAGCAGGTTTAAAAAACAAAGGAAGTATTTCTTCACACAATGCAGAGTCAACCTGTGGAACTCCTTGCCAGAGGATGTTGCAAAGGTCAAGACTATAATAGTTTTAAAAAAAACAACCTTAGATATGTTCACAGAATGGGTCTATCAATGGCTATTAGCTAGATGGGCAGGGACGGTGTCCCTAGCCTCTGTTTGCTAGAAGCTGGGAATGGAAGACAGGAGATGTATTGCTTGATTACCTATTTTGTTTGTTTCCTCAAACACCTGGGCTGTGTCTACATTGGCGCGATCTTGTGCCAAAGCGGCCGCTTATGCGCAAAAACATGCTGCCTGTCTACACTGGCGGGAAGGTCTTGTGCAAGAACACTGACATTCTAATGTGTGAAATCAGTGCTTCTTGCGCAAGAACTATGATGCTCCTGCTCAGGAATAAGCCTTCTTGTGCAAGAAAGCCCGATGGTTAAAATGGTCATCGGGGCTTTCTTGCGCAAGAGAGCGTCTACACTGGCACGGATGCTCTTGCGCAAAAGCACATCTCTTGCGCAAAGGTACATGTAGACGTTCTCTTGCACAAATACTTTAATGCAAGAACTCTTGCGTTAAAGAGTATTTGCGCAAGATCATGCCAATGTAGATGTAGCCCTGGCAAGAACAAGTGGCGCAAACGGCTGTTTGAGCTCCGCACTCCCCATGCAGCACAGGGAGTGTTGAGCCCAAAAGGCCATTTGGACTCTGCAGTCCCCCGAGTGAGAGGCAGGAGGGGGAGGAGAGCTGAGAGAGAGAGAGGGGGAGACAGTAGGAGGAGGAGAGAGAGACACGGAGAGAGAGAGATGTGAAGGAGAGACCTGAAAATCCCGTCTTATGATGGGCTAATTGGCTAGTTCAGAAATATATGTGCAATTGTTAAATAGTTTTATGGAGATTTCATTTTTAATTAAAATGCATTTGTCAGTTTGACATTGCTAATATTTATATTTTAAAATATTTTCTGTTACTGAAACTTTACTATTATCTCACCTGCTTTTTCTTTTGGTAATCATTAAATTGAAGAAACTTGTTCAATTATATGTTTACACATAAGATCATGTTTACTTGAGTGTTAGGAAGTTACAATAATTATGGTTGTTTTGTAGTGTTAAACTTCATTATCATTTAAATCAATAATTTTACATGTGATTAGGGGTCTACGTGTATCCTGATAATCTAGTTTATGTAAATTTCCTACCATGTGTGTGTTGCAGATGCATACACAAAACTTATAAATAAAACTACCCATTTTTCCATACGTCAGCAAGCTTTTCATATATAACTTGCACATGCCTGCTTTTTGCCTGTATAAGTTAGGCATCAACACTTAAAAAATTAACCATATGGGCTAGGTGTTGATCTGATTTTATATATAAGCATATATTCTATTTATTCCTTTATATGTCTTCTCCATTCTTGGGATATTTTTTCATGAGCTTTGGAATAATTTTCAGTTATGTCGTTATGGCCATTACTTTCTTTGCTACTCTCTTTTTACCCTGTCAACTTTGCTTCTGTCTTGTCAGTGGGAGAGTATTAGCGAAGAAAACAAGAAGTTTCCTTTTCTCTCCTTTTCCCCTGGCAAAGCATGCAGCCTTGGATGCATTCCTATCCTTCTGAGCCCAGGGAATGGGAGACTAGAGCAGAGAATTGAATCTTGGTCTCAACGTTAGCAGTGCACAGCACTAGCATGAGGCGATCAAGCCGGACTGTATTTAGTAAAATGAGTTACTATATATTCTCCTAAGCTTAAGAAAGACACCTGAATTATCTTTGTGAATCAAACATTGATGGTTGGCTTCTGCCTCTCAGAAAAATTGGATTGATATACATTGGCAGCACTTACTATTTATCTGTGCTTCAGGGGATTAATGTTGATAATTTATTTCCATTCAAAGTAAACTTCAGCGACAGAACATTTAATTCCTAAGTGTGTGTCTACATAGCAAGTAACTAAAAATCCTTTGTACTGAATTTCTCTATGTAGTAAAATTCCCACTGTGTTAGCAGCAAAAATACCAATTTATCTTTTTTCATTATCAGAAGATTGTGTAGTATTTCTTACTATGTGGTTATGGGGAGAAGATTTCATACTACAGGCAGTCCCCGGGTTACGTAGAAGATAGGGACTGTAGGTTTGTTCTTAAGTTGAATCTGTATGTAAGTCGGAACTGGCGTCAGCCGCTGCTGAAACTGACCAGCAGCTGACTACAGGAAGCCCGAGGCAGAGTTGCTCTGCCCCAGGCTTCCTGGAATCAGCCGCTGATCAGTTTCAGCAGCAGCTGGCTTGGGGACGCCTGGGGCAGAGCAGCTGGGGTGCTGCTGGGGTGGTCCGTAGCAGCGCTGCGGGACCAACCCAGAAGCCCCCAGCTGCTCTACCCCAGGGGTAGGCAAGAAAAGCCTGGTCTGCTGGCGGGGGGGGGGCACTATCTGCACCCCCCCTCCAGCAGACCAGGGAGATGGGGGTGGGGACGCCCAAGTCCTCCACGGCTTTGCTCCGTCTCCCTGGTCTGCTGACCTGGGAGACACGGAGCAAAGCCGCAGAGCACGCGGGCAGCGAGACAGCCCGGGTGCGCTTGAGCTGTCCCCCTGCAGGCGTGCTCCGCGGCTTTGCTCCCCGTCTCCCTGGTCTGCTGACCTGGGAGACACGGAGCAAAGCCGCAGAGCACGCGGGCAGCGAGACAGCCCGGGTGCGCTTGAGCTGTCCCCCTGCAGGCGTGCTCCGCGGCTTTGCTCCCCGTCTCCCTGGTCTGCTGACCTGGGAGACACGGAGCAAAGCCGCAGAGCACGCGGGCAGCGAGACAGCCCGGGTGCGCTTGAGCTGTCCCCCTGCAGGCGTGCTCCGCGGCTTTGCTCCCCGTCTCCCTGGTCTGCTGACCTGGGAGACACGGAGCAAAGCCGCAGAGCACGCGGGCAGCGAGACAGCCCGGGTGCGCTTGAGCTGTCCCCCTGCAGGCGTGCTCCGCGGCTTTGCTCCCCGTCTCCCTGGTCTGCAGCTTTGCAGACCAGGAAGACGCAGACCAGGAAGACGCGGAGCAGCTTTTCTCGCCCCGGAGTGCTCCTGCCTTGTACTCTGAACAGCAGCCAAACAACTTGGAACTACTTGGAAAGG